GCAGCAGATCTCCCAGCACAGTGCTAGAGCTCTGCTAAGGGACGGACTGCCCCCTGAAGTGGGTCCCTGACCCCTGTGTCTCCTGACTAGGAGACACCTCCCAGCAGGGGTCAACAGACACCTCATAGAGGAGAACTCTGGCTGGCATCTGGAGGGTGCCCCTCTGGGATGAAGCTTCCAGAGGAGAAACAGTGAGAACAGCTGTTCTGCAGCCTCTGCTGGTGATACCCAGGCAAACAGGGTCTGGATTGGACCTCCAGCACCAGCAGACCTGCAGCAGAGAGGTCTGACTGTTGGAAGGAAAACTAACAGAAAGGAATAGCATCAACATCAAACAAGATGTCCACATAGAAACACCATCCAAAGGTCACCAACATCAAAGACCAATGGTAGATATATCCACAAAGATGAGAAAAAAACCATCACAAAAAGGCTGAAAATTCCAAAATCCAGAATGCCTCTTCTCCTCCAAAGTATCACAATTCCTTGCCAGCAAGGGAACAAAACTGGATGGAGAATGAATTTGATGAATTGAGAGAAGTAGGCTTAAGAAGGTGGGTAATAACAAACTCCTCCGAGCTAAAGGAGCATGTTCTAACCCAATGCAAGGAAGCTAAGAACCTTGAAAAAAGGTTAGAGGAGGGCCGGGCGCAGTGGTTCACGCCTGTAATCCCAGCACTTTGGGAGGCCGAGGCGGGTGGATCACGAGGTCAACAGATTGAGACCATCCTGGTTAACATGGTGAAACCCCGTCTCTACTAAAAACACAAAAAATTAGCTGGGCATGGTGGCGCGTGCCTGTAATCCCAGCTACTCAGGAGGCTGAGGCAGGAGAATTGCCTGAACCCAGGAGGCGGAGGTTGTGGTGAGCTGAGATCATGCCATTGCACCCTAGCCTGGGTAACAAAAGCAAAACTCTGTCTCAAAAAAAAAAAAAGGTTAGAGGAATTGCTAACTAGAATAACCAGTTTAGAGAAGAACATAAATGACCCAATGGAGCTGAAAAACATAGCATGAGAATTTTGTGAAGCATATACAACTATAAATAGTCAAATTGATCAAGAAAATATATCAGAGACTGAAGATAAACTTAATGAAATAAAGCATGAGGACAAGATTAGAGAAAAAAGATTAAAAAGGAACTAACAAAGCCTCCAAGAAATATGGGACTTTGTGAAAAGACCAAACCTATGTTTGATTGTTGTACTTGAAAGTGATGGGGAAAATGGAACCAAGTTATATTATCCAGGAAAACTTCCCAACCTAGCAAGTCAGGCCAACATTCAAATTCAGGAAATACAGAGAATACCACAAAGATACTCATTGAGAAGAGCAACCCCAAGACACATAATGTCAGATTCACCAAGGCTGAAATGAAGGAACAAATGTTAAGGGCAGCCAGAGACAAAGATTGGATTACCCACAAAAGGAAGCCCATCAGACTAACAGTGGATCTCTCTGGAGAAACCCTACAAGCCAGAAGACAGTGGGGGCCAATATTCAACATTCTTAAAGAAAAGAGTTTTCAACCCAGAATTTCATATCCAGCCAACCTAAACTTCACAAGTGAAGGAGAAACAAAAATCCTTTACAGACAAGCAAATGCTGAGAGATTTTTGTCAGCACCAGGCCTGCCTTACAAAAGCTTCTGAAGGAAGCACTAAATATGGAAAGAAAAAAACAGTACCAGCCACTACAAACACATACCAAATTGTAAAGACCATCAACACTATGAAGAAACTGCATCAACTAACAGGCAAAACACCAGCTAGCATCATAACGACAGGATCCAATTCACACATAATAATATTAACCTTAAATGTAAATGGAATAGATGCCCCAATTAAAAGACACAGACTGGCAGATTGGATAAAGAGTCAAGACCCATCAGTGTTCTGTATTCAGGAGACCAATTTCATGAGCAAAGACGCACATAGACTCAACATAAAGGGATGGAAGAATATTTACCAAGCAAATGGAAAGCAAAGAAAAGGTTGCAATCCTAGTATTTGATACTAGGTTGCAATCCTAGTATCTGATAAAACAGACTTTAAACCAACAAAGATCAAAAGAGACAAACAAGGGCATTATATAATGGTAAAGAGATCAAGGCAACAAGAACTAACCATCCCAAATATATATATACCCAATACAGGAGCACACAGATTCATAAAGCAAATTCTTAAAGAACTACAAAGAGAATTAGACTCCCACACAATGATAGTGGGAGACTTTAACACCCCACTGTCAATATTAGACAGACCAATGAGAGAGAAAATTAACAAGGATATTCAGGACTTGAACTTAGCTCTCGACCAAGTGAACCTATTACACATCTACAGAACTCTCCACCCCAAACAGATAGAATATTCATTCTTCTCAGCAATTTTCAATGCGAAAATCCTCAGTAAAATACTGGCAAACCAAATCCAGCAGCATGTAAAAAACCTTATCCACCACAATCAAGTTGGCTTCATCCCTGGTATGCAAGCCTGGTTCAACATATGCAAATCAATAAAAGTAATCCATCACATAAACAGAAACAATGACAAAAACCACATTATTATCTCAATAGATGCAGAAAAGGCCTTCAATAAGATTCAACACCCTTTCATGCTAAAAACTTTCAATAAACTATATATTGATGGAATGTATCTCAAAATAATAAGAGCTATTTACAAAGGGAAGCATTCCCTTTGAAAACCAGCATAAGACAAGGATGCCCTCTCTCACCACTGCTATTCAACACAGTATTGGCGGTTTTGGCCAGGGCAATCAGGTAAGAGAAAAAAATAAATAGTATTCAAATAGGAAGAGAGGAAGTAAAATGATCTCTGTTTGCAGATGACATGATTGTATATTTAGAAAACCCCATTGACTCAGCCCAAAATCTCCTTAAGATGATAAGCAACTTCAGCAAAGTCCCAGGATACAACATCAATGTGCAAAAGTCACAAGCATTCCTGTACACCAGTAAGAGACAGAGTCAAATCATGAGTGAACTCCCATTCACAGTTGCTACAAAGAGAATAAAATACCTAGGAATACAACTTACAAGGGATGTAAGTTGTATCACAATGAGATGCCATCTCATGCCAGGACCTCTTCAAGGAGAACTACAAATCACTACTCAAGGAAATAAGAGAGGACACAAAGAAATGGAAAAACATTCCACGCTCATGGATAAGAAGAATAAATGTCAAGAAAATGGCCATTCTGCCCAAAATAATTTATAGATTCAATGCTATCCCCATCAAGCTACCATTGACTTTCTTTGCAGAATTAGAAAACAAAAACAAAAAAAAAAGTACTGTAAATTTCATATGGAAACAAAAAGAGCCCTTATAGCCAAGACAATACTTAGCAAAAAGAACTAACTTGGAGGCATCACGCTACCTGACTTCAAACTATACTAGCAAGGTTACAGTAACCAAAACAGCATGGTACTGGTAACAAAACAGATATATAGACCAATGGAACTTAACAGAGGCTTCAGAAATAAAACCACACATCTACAACCATCTGATATTTGACAAACCAGACAAAAACAAGCAATGGGGAAAGGATTGCCTATTTAATACATGGTGTCAGGAAAATGGGCCAGCCATATGCAGAAAACTGAAACTGGACCCCTTTCTTATACCTTATGCAAAAATTAACTCATAACAGATTAAAGATTTAAATGTAAGACCCAAAACCATAAAAACCCTAGAATGAAACCTAGGCAATACCTTTCAGGACATAGGCATGGGCAAAAGCTTCATGACTTAAACACCAAAGCAATGGCAACAAAAGCCAGAATTGACTAATGGGATCTAATTAAATGAAAGAACTTCTGCACAGCAAAAGAAACTATCATCAGAGTGAACAGGCAACCTACATAACTGGAGAAAGTTTTTGCAATCTATCTATCTGACAAAGGGCTAATATCCAGAATCTACAAGAAACAAACAAATTTACAAGAAAAAAACAACCCCATCAAAAAGTGGGCAAAGGATATGAACAGACACTTCTCAAAAGAGGAACAAATCTGAAAAAAAGCTAATCACTGGTCACTAGAGAAATGCAAATCAAAACCACAATGAAATGCCATCTCATGCCAGTTAGAATGGTGGTCATTAAAAAGTCAGGAAACATTCAGTCAGATGCTGAAGAGGATGTGGAGAAATTGGAACACTTTTACACTGTTGGTGGGAGTGTAAATTAGTTCGGTCATTGTGGAAGACAGTGAAGCAATTCCTCAAGGATCTAGAACCAGAAATACCATTTGACCTAGTAATCCCATGATTATAAATCATTCTCCTATAAAGACACATGCACACGTATGTTTATTGCAGCACTGTTCACAATAGCAAAGACTTGGAACCAACCCAAATGCCCATCAATGGTAGACTGGATAAGGAAAATGTGATACAGACACACCATGGAATACTATGCCGCCATAAAAAGGATGAGTTCATGTCTTTTGCTGGGACATGGGTGTAGCTGGAAATCATCGTTTTCAGCAAACAAACACAGGAACAGAAAACCAAACACTGCATGTTCTCACTCATAAGTGGGAGTTGAATAATGAGAACACGTGGACACCAGGAGGGAAACATCACACACTGTGGGGCCTGTGGTGGGGTGAGGGATAGGGGAGGGATAGCTTTAGGAGAAATACCTAATGTAGATGACAGGTTGATTGGTACAGCAAACCACTATGGTATATGTATACCTATGTAACAAACTTGCATGTTCTGCACATGTATCCCAGAACTTAAAGTATAATAATAATTAAAAAAAGAATGGTATCAAAATATTTTTTCTTACTTCTGCTCTCTCCAGTTGTAATGGTTGTATTAAAAATAATGTTTAATATCAACAATACCAAATAAAATGTTTGTTTTCGAAGTTGAGTAAGAATACATTTATTGTCTTTTTAAATCTACTTTAAATTAATTGTTTATTTTTTATAATTACTTTTAAGTCTCAAATCAAATGCCATTTCTTCGCTTTTCAATTTTAAGTGCTTTATTATTTAAATTGCACTTATGCTTGAAATGATCTCTTTTACTTATTTACTTCTTTATTTATTACTGCTTATTTGTTTATTCACTTATTTTTTAGTTATCTTGCCAGTTTTGTTTGTCATCATTGCATTAACAGCCTGGTTTATAGAAGACATAAAATAATCGTTAATAAATACACTGTTACAAAATAAAAGCCACTGCTTTGATACCTATAAAATGTACCAATATCTTGAAATTAAAAAATGATGGACTATTCTGTGTTCTCGGTTGTCAGCAATTGACAGAACCAAGGCATTCCCTGGTCAGGATTAGGCAAATGCTTAGCTGAGTCCTAGGGGTTTCAGGGTAGTAAGGCATGATGGCTTCCTGCTTCAGTCAAACCAATTCTCACTCAACAGTGTTTCACGGAGATGTTCTGCATAAGCTTTTGTTTGAAGAAAGAGTTCCATTGCTTAAAAATAGGAGGTTGCAGTACAGCGATTTTAAAAACCCCACTGTTTTGGGGAATTTGAAGCAAAAGGTAGCTGAAATGAGTTTACATTCTAAGCTATATTTTTCCCTTTAAAAGTTAATGTGCTGTCTTAATAATGATTTTATACTATAATGACATAAAATTATTTCTGCCTTGGTTTGAAGATTTGAACAATTTATGCTTTTTAGAATTTTGGAGATAAACTGAAAATCTTTTACCTTTGGTTATATTAAAAAAAATGTAAGTTAAACCTTATATTGGAAAATGAGAATTTTGGTTTCAAAGATTTCTTCTTCTACTGTGTTAATCTTATATTTATATTTTATTTCCTTCTCTATAGAGAGAGCATATAAAAACATGTTCAGTGTTTCTTTGCTTTCCGAGTTACATTTTATCTTGAGTAGATTTAAAATCAGATTAGCTGTAATAGGATTCCAAGATGTGGGCAGATGTCTACTTGTCACAGACAATATCTCTTGCAATCAGCTCCTTCATTATTTCATTTGCACCACCATAGATTGGCTGAACTCAGGCATCCACATAAGCTCTGGATAAAATGGAAGATGATTTAATAAATAAATAAAAGATACTAGAAAATGTAAATTTTGTCTCACCAGGTAACTATTAATTAAACTATCAATTTAATGAAATACAAACAATAAAAGTCCTTCATAAATTACTTGTTTTTTCAATATAGCATTCATCCTAAATTGGAATAATAGTAAAAAAAACTATTAAGATGTTAATAATCTGTATAGCTTTATTTTAATTTTATTAAAGAGATTATAAATTTGAAATAACAGTAAGTATGTTTCATCTGATTTAATTTTGTAAAATTCAGCACATATAACACTCTTAAAAAGTCTGTTTTAGATTAGGAAATGCACAGACTGTCTTAATTTCTTATATGTTTTCTAAAAAAGTTGAAATCCATTTGTTTTATAGAAAACAAAAGAAAAAAATACATATCTTCTAGCGCTCCCACCACCACTATCAGGAATATAAACTGATGCTTTAGTTTAGTTAATATTTCTGGGAAATATTATTTCCCAGAAAGTTAGCAAGTAACTTGTTTTATGGAAATGGTTAATAGTTAACTTCAGCGATGTGTGGAATTAAAATACGAAGTGGTTGAGTCCATTGCCATACCCACACCAAAGAAAAGCCCCAACTATCATCAGAAGTTCATTTTTGATAGTCATGATAACAACCCTGCCATTGTACAGTTGCTTCTATCTTTTCTCATCTCATTTTATCCTCTTAGCTCTGGGATTGGGGAGGGATAAATGTTAATACTGTTTTCCTGGTAAAGGAACTGAAGTACAGAGAAGTTAATACATTTCCTAATTAATGGTTGCTATTTGTCACTAACATATCATTGGCAAACTGGAATGAGGATGTAGGTATCCTGCCTCTTTTTCAAATATCTTTTTTGTATATCACAACACTTTCATTGGACAAAAGCACTAGTAATTGAACTTTGGACTTTCTTAGTAGACACATTCAAAGGAGTTTTTGTTTTTTTTTTCCCCCTCAAGTATAATCACAGTGTTTTGTTTTGTTTAAATTTGATTTTTTTTTTTTTTTTTTTGAGACAGTGTCTCAATCTGTTGCCAGGTGCCAGGCTGGAGTGCAGTGGCATGATCTCGGCTCACTGTAACCTCCGCCTCCCGGGTTCAAGCAATTCTCCTGCCTCAGACTCCTGAGTAGATGGGACTACAGGTGCATGCCACCAAGCCCAGCTAATTTTTGTATTTTTAGTAGAGACGGGGTTTCACCATGTTGGCCAGGATAGTCTCCATCTCTTGACCTCGTGATCCGCCCGCCTCAGTTTCCCAAAGTGCTGGGATTAAAGGCTCTCTAAGAACGTACCAGATTTGAACTCATTCTTCTCCATATTCATCAGAGTTCCTTACAAAGAAATGGGCACTCAGTAAATATTTATTGATATGATTTACTATATTACAAAGGAAATTTAGAATCTCGGTACTTTCTGCTGAAAGCTTTAAAAGCTTGAGACATTTACATTTTCAAACATTTTTTTTTCTAAACAGATTTTACTCTGCTCTACAAAATCTAGCACCTGCATTTTGAGGACTTACCTAGTGTAAGCCCATTTCAACAATCCCAAGGCATTTAGATTATTTTGTTAATGGACTAGACTTCTTTTCACATTAAAGCAATGCCAGTGGAGTAGACAAAGACAGAGATTAGTAGACCTTTTATATGTTACTAATTAAATTTAGTCATCAACTAAAATTAACAGTGAAAGGCAGCAGCAGAAATGTTTAACCACAGTGCAATGAAGTTCTATATCTAAGGCTGCACTTCCTAGCATGGTAGAGAAAATCCTCAAATGGCAAAGCTTCAGCCTCTCTCCTCGGGCTCGAACCTAATGAGTAAGACTGAAATACACCCACATGCTAAAGACCAATTATTTAAAAAGACAAAAACAAAAAAAGCAAAATAAAAAAACAGAGAAAGCACCTCTTTTATCTATGAAACCAAGACGCAGCAACAGCAACATATATATAAACTAATGTAGTTTAGTCTGCGGGATATAAGAAACACAATTAGAATGATTTTTTTCTATCAAAGCAAAGTCTATACATTACATCCACATATTGCCTAAAGTGTCCATGTGACTTTTTGTTTTTTGAGACAGAGTCTCACTCTGTCGACTAGGCTGGAGTGCAGTGGGGTGATCTCAGCTTACTGCAACCTCTGCCTCCCGGGTTCAAGCACTTCTTGTGCCCCACAAGTCACTGGGACTACAGGTGCTGGCCACCACGCCTGGCTAAATTTTTTGTATTTTTAGTAGAGACAGGGTTTCCCCATGTTGTCTAGGCTGGTCTTGAACTCCTGAGCTCAGGCAATCCCACCCGCCTCAGCCTCCCAAAGTGCTGGGATTACAGGCATGAGCCAGTGCGCCTGGTCTAAGTGGCTTTTTTGATATTAAGTGATATATGGAAAGAGAAAAAGTAGGCTACTTTAAAAATTGATACAATCTTTGAACTAACAAACTGGCCAAGAAAGGTAATTATTGTTTCTTAAAGGGAATTTAAGTCTCTTAAACTGAAGCCAAAGATTTCAAATAAGCCATCAAGCTACAATGTTTGCTTGGTATCAGCTTGAAGGAGTTGACTCTGAGAAAACAGAGACCAAGGCTTATGCCACATTTTAATCTTAAGCCATTTAGATGGTTGCCTTCTCCCCACCTAATAGGCCTTTCTTTAGAATGTAAACTAAAACACACAAACATTGAGCCACTATATAGCTTCTGCTCTTAATGTAATTTTAGTAAAATACTTCTTTTTCTCACTAAGGACTATAAATACATTAAATGTTTTCAATTATATTTACCAAATAGGTAAATTTGAAATCATTAGGCTGCCAGTTTGAATGTGGGTTTCATAATTTTTCCCTTTAGATACTTTACATTAAGATAAAAATCTTAAAACATTTTTAGAAGCCTATAGCATTCTTACTCTCAGATTCAGACCAAATTGAACTTTTCTGTATAAATAAAAAAGGTCCTTGAGAAAATATTCTAAACCAAAAACATTGCTAAGTAACAAGAAAGATATATTTTCTAGGGTGATGAGGAGAAATGCTATGGGGAGGCTTCTGAGGCAAAAGACTATGCTAAGAGAAAAGGAAATTCTGGAAATTAAGGAGGAAATGCGGGTGAGGACAGTGCCTATTTACAAATTAGTACTGCTTCAAACTGAGAATATTCACATATATTATGATAAATAAAAAAGATATATTTGATTTCTTTCCATTTGAAGGAAATAAAAAATGTATTTCTAAAAATAAAGATTTTTGATTTATTTTTTACAACAAAACAAATAATCAGATATTTAAGATATGTGACAACTCAGATCCTTTGCATATGCCAGTTAATTTTTCTGTACTGCTTTTTTTTTTCTAAAGTAGTATTTGGCCAGACACTGTGGCTTATGCTTGTGATCCCAGCACTTTGGGAGGCCAAGGCAGGCTGAACACTTGAGGCCAGGAGTTAGAGACCAGCCTGGCCAACATGGCGAAACCACACCTCTACTAAAAATACAAAAAAAAAAAAATAGCATGCACCTGTTAATTCCAGCTACTCTGGAGACTGAGGCACAAGAATATTTTGCACCTGGAAGGCAGAAGGTGCAGTGAGCCCAGGGCATGCCAGTACACTCCAACCTGGGTGACAGAGCAAGGCTGTCTCAAAGTAAAATAAAGAATAAAAAAATTTTCAAAGTAGTACTTGTCCTTCTACATAAAGATTCAAATAAAGCCAAGCATTAGGCTTTTGTATACTGGTCTCTTTACTTTCTTTAAGAAAGATAAAATCCCAGTAGTGAGTTGATTAAAAAAAGCTGTTTCCATTTGCTTGAACACATTCTGTCTGTATTCAGCTGAAAAATTCAAAAGATCGCACACCTCCTTTCCCTCTACATTTGATGTACAAAGTAAAGAAATTTTCCTTTTTCTTCACATCATAAAGAATAGTGTGTCAGAACAACCATACTTACTTTGCAATTGGGTACTCCCACATGCAGCCCCAACCTCCATGGAGCTGTATACAGTCATAAGCTACACTATTTTGTAAATCAGATGTTCTAAATGACTAAAAAAAAGGTAGAAAGAAATGTTTGAAATGGATTTTCATGAGGTGCTTCAAAACCAGAAAACTAATTATTTACAATTGTTTATATGTGCACATTTATTAAGCAATTAAAATGGCATATTAGCTAAGGAAAGAAGATGATAAAAATCACATGAAATAAATTTCAAGAGAATTTTCATATAAGAATACCTTCTTCATCAATTACATTTCTTGCCAGGTTTTCTTAAGGCTAGAAACAAAAGGTAGAAAACATGATTAGGTTTCAAAGGGCTAGAAAAAGATACAGTAAAGACTTGAATATGTTCTAATTTATTTGGATTCTCTATATGATTTAAATTAGTCAAGCACCTAGTTCTTTTTGCCCTTGTATTATGCCTTTTTTCTCCAATGATGTCACTTTCTACTTGAAGATCACGATTCTGAATTTCAGTATAAAAAAGCAATTTTTTAGGGCTCTGATTTTGCAGAAATAAATTAAAGGTAAAAGTGAAAACCCAAGAGGGCAGGCTAACAAACTATATGCTATCATATAGAAAACATTACAAAATTATATAGAGAATAATATTTCTGAAGTGTGTGTATGAGTATTGCATATAATGTATGTATACATATATAAACATGCAGTGCTTGAGAAAAATTCTGATTATATCACAATTCTAACTATTATTAAAACTCACAATAGAGATTTTATTCACCTTAACATAAAAATATGTTAGTTCAAAATTATATTCTACTTACTTTTCTTTTCTTTATTTCTTTGTTTGTTTGTGTATTTATTTTAGTGATGGAGTCTCACTCACTCTATGGCCCAGGCTGGGTAGAGGGGCACAATCAAAGGTCATTACAGTCTTGAACTCCTTGAGGGCTCAAAGGATCCTCTCACCTCAGCCTCTGGAGTAGGAGTGATTACAGTTGCAAGCTACAGTACCCTGCTACTTATTTTGCAATAGTGGGAAACATGAAGCAAAGATAAGGATAGATACTTTTTAAAATTTAAAGTAACTTTAAACTCAAGCTATATGACAGCTGAGGATGTTTCTAAGCCATATATTAACAATAAATTTTTTTTTTTTTTTTCCGAGATGGAGTCTCACTCTGTTGCTCAGGCTAATGTGCAGTGGGGCAATCTCGGTTCACTGCAACCTCTGCCTCCCGGGTTCAAGCAATTCTCCTGCCTCAGCCTCTGAAGTAGCTGGGATTACAGGCATGCACCACCATGCTCAGCTAATTTTTTTGTAAAGTAGGGATGGGGTTTCATCATATTGGCCAGGCTGGTGTTGAACTCCTGATCTTGTGATCTGCCGGCTTCAGCCTCCCAAAGCGCTAGGATTACAGGCATGAGCCACCATGCCTGGCTAACAATATAATTATCAATAGACAAGGCTTTGGAGACAATAATATTTGAAATTTGATAATTTTTTATTTTTTGCAAGTATTTTAGTAAAATATTTACCAGGCTGTAACTAGTTGCCTCCTGTGCTTCAATGTGAAATACCAGCATGTCTATAAACCTGGGGTTTTCAAATAACAAGGTCAATGGCTATCCAAACCTCTCTTTTTCCAAAAATATGTAAAAAATTTTTTTACACTTTTTTTCCACTAGTCAAAGAACTTGTTGTAAATGTAAATATAAAAAGTCTCCCCAAAAGTACGAGTTCCTAGTAATTCCACATTACTTTTCAACCTAGCAATTTTATTATTATGAGATCATTACATAAAGCACAAAATATTTCTCCTGTCCTACTTGTAACTGAACTGAACACAAGTTAATGAGTAATGACAGGAATTTTTTTCTAGGTTACTCTTGGGCTAATGATATGTGAGAATGTTTGTTTTTAAAAAGAGGAAACCAAATCTACCTCCCAAATCTGATTTAGATTATATATTTTTAAACCTTAAAATATACAAAAGTCTTACATACAGGGATCTTTTTTGATCAACTCATCTTTAACACCATTGCTAATAATCTTTAATTCAAATCAAAGTCTTCCTAAACTTAATAGGATTTTTAGTTTCCATTCACTTATTAGAGCCTGTGAAACTTTGGACAGCCAGTTCTTTGTGAATTTTTTTTTACATCTGGAAAGCACCTTAAATAGAAGAATCCTGTCCAACTTAGTCATTTCACAGATAACAAAAACATTTTCCTGGATGTTTAATTATAGTTATTTAATAAAAGAATTGGACTCTATCTTAAGGTTCCTAAATTTTACTCTTCTCTTTCAGCCTCACTATACTGCCACTCTTCAGATGATTTGAAATTAAACTATGAATTGAATGAACTAATGTTAATATTGATGACTATCTTATCAATATTAGTCTTCATTATCCAACACTTAATATTTTATTTTCAATAGCAAGTTAAGAAATTAGATATTAACTTTGCTTGCCTATTAGGATAAAAAATTCAATGCCAACTTGAATATTTTTTTAGCATGTTATACATATGTTTAATGGGACTTTTCAGCATTTTTTTAAAAGTTGAATTTTACTTTTATTTTTCATTTCACAGACTTCTTCCTATAGAAGATCTTCAAGGCTAAGATTAAAATGGGCAGAATTCCATATCAGTCTGAGCATATACCACACTCTAATTACGGTAGCATGCCTACCAATATTTTGCCATGCAAGCAGTGGCAGAGTCTAAACGTTTCCTTTCATGCAGCTGGAGACAGCTGTCCACAAATGCTCTGGTTTCACATATATGTTTTTAATTCTGCTAATTTATGTTGCACTGTCTTGAATTTAAAGGAAATAAAAGAAAAATGTGAGCATGGTAGATATGTAAACTTTAACCCCCTTAGCATATCAGAAATTATACAATAAAAGATCTTTAGGGCAAACAAAAGTGAAATTGTTGGTTTTTTCCTCCATAAAGAGGGCGTATGTTACCAAATCAGCTTATTTTAAAACCCACTATATTTCATTGCTAAGCACATTTGTACTAAAAGATGCAAAAATAGTTAAAAACATAAATAATGTCGTTTCAGAGTCTAAAACGCAGACAAGGCAAACTGCTTGAAAACAGCATGACTTTAATGTATGAGCGCCATCTGGTGGTACACTTATTTAGATACAGCTGTTGAAAACACCTATTTTCCTCCAGAGACTAAATCCTTGAAGATTTTTTTCTCTATTAATTAAATTAAGTATCGGATTTTGCTACTCTACTTCTAACATTTGGAGGGACAAGGAGGTTCTATATATGTTCATAAACACATCAAAATATCTATAAGACATTATTTAATATTGCACAGTATTTAATATAGATCTGTAGAATGCAATAGAATAAAATCAAAGTACTAAAGAGATCAAAGTCCAGTACCCTGATCCTCTTTCATCTCTTCACATTATCCCTCCTGATAATGGTTTGGCTGTGTCCCCACCCAAATCTCATCTTGAATTGTAGCTCCCACAATCCCCATATGTTGTGGAAGGGACCTGCTGAGAGATAATTGAATCATAGGGACGAGTTTGTCACACGCTGTTCTTGTGATAGTTGGGATCATGAGATCTGATGGTTTTATACAGAGCAGTTTCCCTGCACATGCTCTTCTGCCTGCCATCATGTAAGATGTGCTGTTGTTCTTCCTTCATCTTCCATCATGATTATGAGGTCTCCCCAGCCATGTGGAACTGTGAGTCTGTTAAAACTTTTTCTTTATAAACTACCCAGTCTCAGATATTTCTTCATAGCAGTATACACCTATACTATACACCTCCAATACCTCTCAATAGCTTGTTTAGCAGTGCACTGAATGGTCTGGGATTATCATTGTTAATATAGCTATATACCTACCTCCTCCTCCTGGCCATGGACAACCCGTTAGTATTTTTGGAAATCATTCTATTTAGACCATTCTCAATTGTTCCTGACTGCTCTTGCTTCGATCAAGCTTTATTTCATTCCTGGCTCTAGGCTGTCACACTCTGAACTTGGAGTTTATATCTGTTCTCTTTTTCACTGACTTTTGAGTCTCCCTTAGGAAATTGGCTTGAACTTGAAATACTGGCTTCCCACTTTGGGTAGCCTTCAAGACTACACCCCATTCTAGTTGATTTCTTAGGTTCAAGGCCCAGATATGGTCAGCAGGCCCTATCTTCTTTGTGAAAATTAAGATAGAAACAGAGTTCTGATCATTCTGCTGTGAAATGAGTGAGAACTTCACTGTGGCTAATAGAAAGCATACACATGGAAAGTTCCTGACAAAGGTTGTGCAGTGAAACTCAAGCTAGAAATTAAATATATACATCTGTTTGGTAACAATCAACCCCAAACTTCTAGAAGTTAAAGTAAAGTACTAATGTAATGTACTGTCAAGTCCAAAGCCACAGCTGTGTTCTCAAAGGAGGGTGGTGGCCAGATTCTCAGAAGATGCAGGACTTGCTTTTAATGTTGGCTACAGCAATTCTCAGGTTATAAAACGGAATCTTTCAGTGTCATTGTTGTGTTTAATCAGCACTAAGTTTCCCACTCCCACCCCACACATTCAAATTTACTCACAGACAATCTAAAGATGGAACAACAACAACAAAAGAAAATAAATGGAGAAATAATCTATACATCGAAAACAGGTGAGTATTCTATGAAAATCCCTGATGATGGTTTCTAAGTTTAGTCCTAGTATAGTTCAATGACACTATGTATGACACTTTATTTGGAAAATAAGGGTGGATCTAACAAGTCTCAAGGTATGTTTTTGCCTACATGATGCCATATTTGAGAATTTATGCAGTTTTAACAACATGAAAGAATAAATATCTCTAAGCCTGATTCTCTCACACAAGAGCTGTTCCTTTGTAAATGCTGGAAACTTCTAGAAGTTAAAGTAAAACTTCAGACCAGAATGGAATGATTTAGAATTCTTGCATCAGTGCATTCAGTGAAGTCCAGCGGGCTGAGAGAATAATGTCTCCAAGAGTACATAATCTACTCTCTGGGGATAAAAAGATTAAAAATGTACATATTCTTGCCATTGGGTTGAGTGTTACCAAACAGATTTGGCCTTTGCTTTTCACTGCAGACACTGCATTATGTTTTCTGAAATCATCCTCTAATCAATGGCAACTAAAACTTGTAACACACATTATTATCCAAGTACTCCTTATATTTGTTAATAAATAATACTACAGCTAGCATTAAAAAATTATTCTGAAGTTACTAAGTGGGCTGGATGGAGTCTTTTTCAGAGTTGTAAATGACAGAATTCTTAGAATCATAGAATGATG